ATTGGCCAAATTCTGTGCTTAACGGACTAAATCATCGGTGGAGAATAGGATCAATAGATTTCATTATCAGTGGAGAATAGTCTCGGGCTGAATCCGTGTTCTGTATCGTCAAAAATCGGAAGAAAATTGCATTTCAGAAAAATCGCCCAAATCTGTGATGGTACCCCTTTGGAATCTGCTAAATATGGACCTTGAAGAAATCCGCCCAAATCGGTGCTTAATGGACTTAATCATCGTTGAAGAATAGCCTCGGCCCGAATCCGTGATCTGTAGGCTTCAAAATTCAAAGAAAATGGCATTTCTAAAAAAATGGCCCAAAAAATTACGATAATGTCATCCCAAAACTAATTGGCAAAATTCTGTGCTTGATGGACTTAATCATCGGTGGAGAATAGGAACAATAGACTTTATTATCAGTGGAGAATAGTCTCGGGCTGAATCCGTGTTCTGTATCATCCAAAATCAGAAGAAAATCGCAATTCCGAAAAATAGCCCACAATATGTGATGGTACCCCTTTGGAATCTACCAAAAATGGACCCCGAATAAATCTGCCCAAATCGGTGCTTAATGGACTTAATAATCGTTGAAAAATAGCCTCGGCCCGAATCAGTGATCTGTAGCCTTCAAAATTCAAAGAAAATGGCATTTCTAAAAAAATCGCTTAAAAAATTATGATAATGCCATCAAAAAATTAATTGGCCAAATTCTGTACTTGATGGACTTAATCATCGGTGGAGAATAGGAACAATAGAATTTATTATCAGTGGAGAATAGCCTCGGGCTGAATCCGTGTTCTATATCCTTCAAAATTGGAAGAAAATCGCATTTTCGAAAAATCGCCCGAAATCTGTTATGGTACCCCTTTGGAATCTGCTAAAAATGGACCCGGAAGAAATCCGCCCAAATCGGTGCTTAATGGACTTAATCATCGTTGAAAACTAGCCTCAGCCCGAATCCGTGATCTGTAGCCTTCAAAATTCAAAGAAAATGGCATTTCTAAAAAAATCTCCCAAAAAATTACGATAATGCCATCCAAAATTAATTGGCCAAATTCTGTGCTTGATGGACTTAATCATCGGTGGAGAATAGGAACAATAGAATTTATTATCAGTGAAGATTAGCCTCGGGCTGAATCCGTGTTCTGTATCCTCCAAAATCGGAAGAAAATTGCATTTCAGAAAAATCGCCCGAGATCTGTGATAATACCCCTTTGGAATCTGCTAAAAATGGACTCGGAAGAAATTCGCCCAAATCGGTGCTTAATGGACTTAATCATCGTTGAAAAATAGCCTCAGCCCGAATCCGTGATCTGTAGCCTTGAAAATTCACAGAAAATGGCATTTCTAAAAAAATCGCCCAAAAAATTACGATAATGCCATCGCAAAATTAATTGGCCAAATTCTGTGCTTGATGGACTTAATCATCGGTGGAGAATAGGAACAATAGACTTTATTATCAGTGGAGAATAGCCTCGGGCTGAATCCGTGTTCTGTATCCTCCAAAATCGGAAGAAAATCGCATTTCCGAAAAATCGCCCGAAATCTGTGATGGTACCCCTTTGGAATCTGCTAAAAATGGACCCGGAAGAAATCCGCCCAAATCGGTGCTTAATGGACTTAATCATCGTTGAAAACTAGCCTCAGCCCGAATCCGTGATCTGTAGCCTTCAAAATTCAAAGAAAATGGCATTTCTAAAAAAATCGCCCAAAAAATTACGATAATGCCATCCCAAAATTAATTCGCCAAATTCTGTGCTTGATAGACTTAATCATCGGTGGAGAATAGGAACAATAGAATTTATTATCAGTGGAGATTAGCCTCGGGCTGAATCCGTGTTCTGTATCCTCCAAAATCGGAAGAAAATTGCATTTCAGAAAAATCGCCCGAGATTTGTGATGGTACCTATTTGGAATCTGCTAAAAATGGACCCGAAAGAAATGCGCCCAAATCGGTGCTTAATGGACTTAATCATCGTTGAAAAATAGCCTCAGCCCGAATTCGTGATCTGTAGCCTTCAAAATTATAAGAAAATGGCATTTCTAAAAAAATCGCCCAAAAAATTACGATAATGCTATCCCAAAATTTATTGGCCAAATTCTGTGCTTGATGGACTTAATCATCGGTGGAGAATAGGAACAATAGAATTTATTATCAGTGGAGATTAGCCTAGGGCTGAATCCGTGTTCTGTATCCTCCAAAATCGGAAGAAAATTGCATTTCAGAAAAATTGCCCGAGATCTGTGATAATACCCCTTTGGAATCTGCTAAAAATGGATTCGGAAGAAATTCGCCCAAATCGGTGCTCAATGGAATTAATAATCGTTGAAAAATAGCCTGAGCCCGAATCCGTGATCTGTAGCCTTTAAAATTCAAAGAAAATGGCATTTCTAAAAAAATCGCCCAAAAAATTACGATAATGCCATCGCAAAATTAATTGGCCAAATTCTGTGCTTGATGGACTTAATCATCGGTGGAGAATAGGAACAATAGACTTTATTATCAGTGGAGAATAGCCTCGGGCTGAATCCGTGTTCTGTATCCTCCAAAATCGGATTTCCGAAAAATCACATTTCCGAAAAATCGCATTTCCGAAAAATCGCCCGAAATCTGTGATGGTACCCCTTTGGAATCTGCTAAAAATGGACCCGGAAGAAATCCGCCCAAATCGGTGCTTAATGGACTTAATCATCGTTGAAAAATAGCCTCAGCCCGAATCTGTGATCTGTAGCCTTCAAAATTCAAAGAAAATGGCATTTCTAAAAAAATCGCCCAAAAAATTACTATAATGCCATCCCAAAATTAATTGGCTAAATTCTGTGCTTGATGAACTTAATCATCAGTGGAGAATAGGAACAATAGACTTTATTATCAGTGGAGAATAGCCTCGGGCTGAATCCGTGTTCTGTATCCTCCAAAATCGGAAGAAAATTGCATTTCCGAAAAATCGCCCGAAATCTGTGATGGTACCCCTTTGGAATCTGCTAAAAATGGACCCGAAAGAAATCTGCCAAAATCGATGCTTAATGGACTTAATCATCGTTGAAAAATAGCCTCAGCCCGAATCCGTGATCTGTAGCCTTGAAAATTCAAAGAAAATGGCATTTCTAAAAAAATCGCCCAAAAAATTACGATAATGCCATCCCAAAATTAATTGGCCAAATTCTGTGCTTGATGGATTTAATCATCGGTGGAGAATAGGAACAATAGAATTTATTATCAGTGGAGATTAGCCTCGGGCTGAATCCGTGTTCTGTATCCTCCAAAATAGGAAGAAAATTGCATTTCAGAAAAATAGCCCGAAATCTGTGATGGTACCCCTTTGGAATCTGCTAAAAATGTACCCGGAAGAAATCGCCCAAATCGGTGCTTAATGGACTTAATCATCGTTGAAAAATAGCCTCAGCCCGAATCCGTGATCTGTAGCCGGGAGCGGTTAGGGTGATTACTACTTTGTAGTAATCATCGTGGTTACTAAGGGTAAATTGGGTATGAAAAAATAAATTATATTAATTAATTTTAATAAATTACATTTTAGGTAGTTACAAAAATCTATTAATTACAATTCAATCTCTTTCTCTCACTTCCGTAATCTCCAGCCAGATCTTCTTTCCATATTTTTCTCAATCTTTCTGCAAAAGAAAAAATACGAAATCACTACCAATCCATTAGACAACCACTACCATTTTAAAAAATATCAATACAATTGCAGAAAAAAATCCATACCATTATACGAAAACTACCAATATAAACAATCTATACCATTACAAAAGTCAAATAAATACCAAAACAACCAATATCACTACTACTGCGAAATCAAAACAATACCATTGCATAAATAAATCAATACCAATAAACTAAAACTACCAATACAAACACTTTATACCATTACAAGAGTCAACCAATACCAAAATCAATCAATGCCACTGCTATTATGAAATCAAATCAATACCATTGTGAAAAACAAACTATACCATTTCATAATACAAAAGAATGAATCAATACCAAACCAAAAATTTACCAAATCATCACCATCTCACCCCCACCACAGCGTCTCTGAAATTCCAATGAAAAACAAATTATACCATTTTGATTGTGTCCACGGGATTGGAATCTCCCCAGAAGAAAATCCAGGCAAGTTTTTTATTGTCTCCACAACGAGACCACGATTTTTGCCGCCGCCGCAGCAGCTGATGCTCCTGCGAGATTGATTCTTCCTTTGGGCCGCGACGTGCTGAACGGCAGCAGCAATGGTTCCGCCGGGAGTTCACCAGAAGATCGGGGGTGGCCGAGGGTCGTCGAGGGTGACCGAGGGGAGGGGCTGGTGTAGGCGGCCAGCGGGATTGGTGCGACGGAGTGGTGGAGGCGGCTGCGGCGGGTTTGGCTGGAGAGAGGGTAGAACTAGGGTTTGGGTAGATTATATAGAATAATCCGGTGCGGTCACTTTTTCATTTCCAAAATTACCCTAAAAGAATCATAGCCGTAAGATTAAAAAGAAGGGAAAATATAAAATCTAATGGTATATAAAGAAGTTGCCACCGTGATTACTAAAAAAATAAGTAATCACCCTAACCCATTCCCTCTAACTACTAGCTACCTCCTGCCCTAACCCTACGGCTGTATTGGGACCCAACAGGCCGGCGATCCGAATCCGTTCCCACCTTAGGATTGGGCTATTCTAAAGTGAGCCGGCCCCTCTCTCATGATCCACCGACGACAGATCCGTCTATAAATACACCAGCTTAAACTGCCGAAGAACCGAAACCTCTACCCAACAGGCAACAACAAGGATCGACTACTCGATTAGGGTTTCTCCTTCAGACAGGAAGAAGGGGGAAAAAAAGGCATGACGGTTCTCTTCTCTCTCGGTCTTCCTAAAGTTGATTGATTTCCTAGCTTCATCTCGCTCTTATTTTAGTTCTGTTCTAGTTCCGGTTTAGCTTACTGCAATTAGGGTTTCATTTTCACAGCCGGACGTGTGGGTTCTGTTTCTTGCATGCAGATGGATACCACGTCACCGGATCCTTACAACGGCCAGAAGACGACGAATGAAACAACCGGCGACGGCGGAGATGATGGCCTGGATCAACGGCTTCTAGCCAAGTATCGAGAGGTTCTAGCAAAATTTGAGGGGTTTGAAATTCTGTGTAGAGAACTTGGGTACCCACTACCCATTGAATATGCTCATCCTCGAGACTTGGCTAGGGTTCGGGATATGATTGATGATTTGATTCGTGCCTTGTCTGAGTTGAAGGCCATGCTCCTAGCCGGTAAATGAGAACTCTGAAGGCTTGGTCCAAGTTTAGGGCTGCGATTCACGACCAAGATGCTGCTGCTGCTTCTTCGCTGAGCAGAAGTCTCGGAGACCTAAGAATGTAACCTTGATTTTAAGGTGAGTGACGGAGCTAATAATCTGAATGAGGGGCGACACATATTTAAACCGTCTATGGTAATTGTAAGAATTCTATTACAATTTTAGTTATATATAAAGTTGGATTGGAGCTATAACCCCTCATAACTTCAACCTCTGTTCATGACTTATATAGATTAATAGAGAGATTGACGAGCATATAGCTAGCTAGCTAATGAGCAATGTGCATATATGATCGAGATGAAAATTTTAACAATATTTTTCGATGTTCAGAATTGCAATAGTTTAGCCGAGGTACAGATCTCTGTCTTTAGTTGGTTAATTTGTGGGGCTTGGTTTAATGATTGGTTGTCATCACATTGCTATCCATGCTTGAGATAAAACTTAGGGGTGTGATGAAACAGGTGGATGTTCGAAGTTCAGTTATATATTTGTATACATATGAATAGGTTGGCGAAATTTACAAGCAAATATAGGCTTGTACGTAGGTAGGGATGACAATTCGTCAGGTACGACGTGACATGATTCATGTTGGGGTAGATATTACCCGACCCGCAATAGTGTGGGGTGAGGCATGCATATGATACTACTTCCGACCAGACCGACCTATTTTGCCCCGCCCCGTGTTGTTCTTTACTTATCATATATTAATTTGACTCAATATATATTTACTTGTATTTCTCTCATTTTGTTTTTTCTTTAGTCATATTTTCACCCTATGAAAACTTAAATAAGTGCAAGGTTTGATCTTTCAACTAGTTATAATCAATTACCCATTCTATAATCACTATTTTGTCACTTGTATAATATTTTCCTCTCATTTTGGTAGTAAATAAATATTATTTTGGGTTTATTTTTCTCAAGTAACATGTGAGAATATGTCAACCCATCCTTAGTGATGGCAATGGGCAGGGGCGGGGCGGTACCTCAATTCCCATGCCCCGCCCCATGCTACTACGGGTCGGGGCGGGTAAAACCCGCGCGGGTACGGGGCAGGGCGGGTCGACCCACTCTTACATGTTGTTAAAAAAAAGTAAATTTTACTTTTAACAATAAAACGTAGGGAAAAACACTTTAAGAATGAAAAATATTGATAATAGAATGGATAATTAAGTCTAACAAGTTGAAAGATCGACTCTAACTAGTTGAAGAAAAGTCAAAATAGGAGAAATATATATAGATATTGTAAGAAATTGAGATAAAATGAGTCTAGAATGGAGCGGGACGGGCAGGGCGGGTCGGAAGTAGATAACCATGCCCCGCCCCATACGCTACTGCGGGTCGGGTAATACCCGCACCATCGCGTATCAGGTCGGGTAATACCCGTGGGACGGGTTGAAATTGCCATCACTACATCCTCCTTTTACCCTCGCGGGAATTACGTACCCGACCTGACCAGTGCTTGATGTGAGGCAGGTATTAATATTGAGTCATTGAGATACCCGCCCCACCTTACCCTCCCGATCGTTTGCCATTCCTACTTATATGGATGTCATATGAATAATCACCGAAGTCATGGGTACGCCGTCGAACCAATCCAATCAAAACGAATAAAGCTCATTGTCGACAGGTTTTTTGGTCGGGTTCGTTATTTCACCATCTATTGAAATGGGTGGGTTGGGTTTCGTCAAAATCCACCCTTTTCCATCCAACCCACACCTAATTGGGTTGTCACGAAATGGACCGGGCCCTCCCACGGTCGATCCACGGGCACAACGAGCTATCACTCCTTGTCTATAAATACCCAACCGAAGAAGTACCGACAACCCTAGCTAGGGTTATTCCTCCTCCTGGAAAAAAACGTCAAGATGGTTTCTCTCTCCGTGAAGTTCTTAATTTTCCTGTCCCTTTTAATTTGCTCTTTTCTTGGCCTATTGGGTCAGGATTTGTTCTGTATTGTGTGTTTATATTTAGTAGTATATAAGCCGAGTCCGATGCGATTCGCCGTGAATTCGAGGAATTGATGAAGCTGAGGGAGGCAGCGATTCTGAGTCGAGTGGAAGATGCTTCTATTAGCAATGATCTCAGCCACCTAGCAATATAGAGATCAGTGAAATGCTGATGATGTTGGGATGATTAAAGGTGAATAAGATGTCTCGTTTCAGAGGAATTTTACAATGCTATATAGTATTGGTGCTATAGGTTTTTCCTTTTATGGTACAACTTGAAGTTGTACCTTTAACGTTATGGTACAACTTCAGATTGTACCTATACTCTTTTGTCAAATTGTTTTATGGTACAACTTAAACTTGTACTTTCATTTGATGGTACAAGTTTAAGTTATAAAGTTGTACCATAACATAAGAGCACAAATTCCTTTATGTTACAACCTGAACTTATACATTTAACGTTATGGTACAACTTTAAGTTGTACATTAAAGTACCAATACTTTATAGCATAGTAGAAGTGCTCCTCGTTTCATGTTGATTGATTGTCAAGAAGAACTTTATGCAGAATTTGAAAGACGTGAAATGGAATAAGACGAAATAATTTTAAGTACAATTAAATTGAAAATCCCTAATCTTCCTCATGTGAAGAAGAAGAAGAGAGTATATGTTTGTTTTGGTGTTGTAGACCACAACCTTAAAGAGGAATTTTACAATGATATATAGTATTGGTGTTATAGGTTTTTGCCTTTATGGGACAACTTGAAATTATACATTTAACGTTGTGGTACAACTTTAGATTATACCTATACTGTTTGTACAAATTTTTTTATGGTACAACTTGAACTTGTACCTTTATGTAATGGTACAACTTCAAGTTGTAAAGTTGTACCATAACATAATGGTACAAATTCTTTTATGGTACAATCTAAACTTATACATTTCATGTTATGGTACAACTTTAAGTTGTACATTAAAGCACCAATACTATATAGCATGGTAGAAATGCTCCAACCTTAAAATGATTCATTATATACTGGATTCTCGCAAAGCTATAATAAAATCCTAGATGAATAAATTCTGATTTTCACCCATTTTTTTATATAATTGTGACAAAAAAAATATGTTGCAAGGAAAAGCAGAAAGATGGTTCAAGAACAAAGTCCGTACAATTCAATTGGCTTGAGTTGTGAAAGACACAATAAAAAACTAGAAGAACAGGAAAAAAAAATGAATAGGGTAATATGAATAAGGCAAACCTTTGGCTTTGATCAAAAGCTTTGGCTGTGGAGGTTTCAAAACGCGCTGCATGGATTGTTGAACACCAACGTTGTCAACAGGTTCAGCTTGTTGGTCCGGCTAATTAAGTGCGTTGAGAGTTACTGGTCGGATCAATTTAGCTTGGATATATATAAAATGTCATTGTGTTGTTCATATTTGGATCCAAGTGAAAATTCAAACACATTTATATAACATCAATATTGAAATGTTCGACTCAGAATTTCAAAGATAGGACTATGCAAAAAAACAAAATCAGAAAAAAGTAACGCAATTTACAAAATAAAGAAAAAAAACAACACCGTGTGACCTCCAACCTCGTATCCTTGCCACGGGTCAATCCGCGAAGATGTGGCGCCCATTTTTCTACGTCAACTTGTTGAACACCCAATATGACTATCCCGATTCATTTTAGGGTTCGGTTTGTCCCAAAGTGGGCCGCCGGCCCACACATGATCGATCCCTATCGCCTCCTCAAACAAAGTGAGCAGGGATATACGTACCAATCCTTCTGTATAAATAAACGGATAGCTATCTGAAACGGAGAACCATAAAAAACCCTAACGACGAGGCGCCAGAACCAAATAGCTTCGACGGAAAAACTAAAGGAAGAGATCGATCGAAGACCTCCAATCAAGCACGATCGAGGGTTGAAAGGATGAAGGTTCACACTCTCCCTCTCCCTTCTTTCTTGTTTGGATTTCGTTCTAGTTCCCAATTTGCCTATCAGGCTGCTAGGTTTTCATTCGATCGTAGCCACAAGTTAGGGCAGTGGCTAAGTCAGGATTTAAAGTAAAAAGAGGTTGTAGAACTAAAAATCTAGAACCGTTTTTTAGGATTGACTCCCAGAGGAGGCTGATTAATTATATTTTGTGTTTCAAGTGATATTTAGAAGTGTTTTGGTGATCTAAAATTTTAAACTTTAAAGTGCGGTTTTTGACTATATTAGTTAGGAAAATCACGATTCTACATAAATTTTTTTATTTATTGTATTAGTAAGGTTTAAATCGCGATTCTGACTACATTGATTGCAAGCAGATAGACATCTCCGACTCAGGACTAGAAAACATGCCGGGTCGTCGATCCTCGTGGCAGAAGAAACAGATGATCCAAGCTATCGAACAGCAGATCGCAGCAAAGTGGCTGGAGCATCGAGTGAAGTCCGAGGAGATAAAGGACGAGTATGCTGCCAAGTTTAACGAGCTCTGGCTGAAAAGTGAGGGCGATCCTAGGGTTGATCACCAGCACATGTCCATTCTGGAGCGGCTTCCTCAGGAGGGTGCTGATCTATTGCGTGAAGTTAAAGCTAGGCTTGACGCCTTGAACGATGCCATCGGCGGTGAACTTAATGAGCTGTGGAAACTCAAGTATGCAATTCAGTTCCAGAAAGCACCTGAACCCGATCCTGCTGCTGCTGCTGCTGCTGCTTATGTTACCAATAATCTCAGCCGCCTAACCATCTGACTTGAGTGCATGGATCTGGGGGAGATGATGAGTGGAATGAAGGGTTAATGATTCTGGCATCTAGATTTTGGATGGTTTTGGTGATTCGTTATTGACTGATTATGACTTATGATCAAATTGCTACTTGTTTCATCCAGTTGCATGGCCACTTTCTCTGTTTGATCATCTGAGGATCTTATTTGCATAGAGTTTTGAAACCTTCCCATTAATGCTTCTAGCTCCGGGAAATCTTTCCATGCATGACGTGAATACATAACATAGAGTCTTAGGGCATGTTTGGAAGTTAGGATTCTCTAAATTGATGTATTTAATCAATGTATGTATTATAATAAGATGCATTGTTTCAATGTATGAATTTGAAAAATACATTGTTTGGAGATTGAATGATTTTGGTGGTCCCTCAAAGAATAAGGAACAAAAAGTAAGACAACAATCCCTCAAACATAATCTCTACTAAAAGTTGAGATTTACAATCATTCATAATGAATGATTCTGGTGGGCCCATCTGCTGTTCAAATACAAGCATTCTGTTTCATTTTAAGCAAAAAAAAAAAAAAAACGATGAATTCTTCTGATTACATGTATTGGCTAAATACATCATCTGAAATCCCAACTTCCAAACGAGCCCTTATGGTTTATCCCACGGTGAAATTGGGTACCGCATATCTTTAGTCAGTCGTTGCACTATTTGGATCATGAATTAACAAAAATTGGTATATGGTACTATACTCCGAACTTGATTGACCAAAACCCATATACACTCTAATATCTTGAACCCTGAAATGGTGTATTTTGTAGCGTATCATGTTCCAAAACAATCTTCCTAAAAGTACGTAGGACATAACCCAAAATTGATAGGAGTACCATTACTATAAGCTAGATAGATAATGCATCATGCATGCGATACGATTAATCCGAATTACTTCAGGATTGGGAAAATCCCAAAGTGGGCCGGCCCATCACACGATCCACCGACATATCTCCTCTATAAATACAAACCTACCCGAAAACGAGGACCGGACCGGCCAAATACTAAGGATTGAAGTTTAGTACTTAATATCGCCTACCAATTTCACATTTTTGTAGAAAGTTTTTCTGGCCGAATTGCGGATAGGGCGCACACTACAAAAGAAACTGCCAACAGCAGGGTTTTTTTTAACTTTTGGCGACGGAAAAAACCGTCGCTAAGTAGGCCGGCAGCGGTTTTTGTAACCGCTGGGTAACCGTCGCAAAGAGGACCGCCGCAAATGTATGCCAGCGGTCAGGACAACCCCTGGTGGATGTTCTTGCAACGGTTTTTGCTGCGATTTAAACCGTCGCTATTAGAACTTCCGTCACTACCCATGCCAGCTTTCGCAGCGATAATTAAGGCTTTTTGCAACGGTTTTAAAACCCTGGATACTGACCATTATGCTCCAAAATATTCCACACCTCACCCAAACCACTGAAAAGTAGATTTAACGACGAATTCATTCAAAAGAATACCTGCTGATACCGTTCAATTTCATATATTTATATACTCTGACCTTAAAAGTCTACATTATCTATTATCCATGCCACAAATTGCCAACTTCTTTCACAGTACACTTTACTCATACAAAAGAAAATTGACAAAATATAAAATCAAGAAACAGCTCACAACCAAAGGAATCATGTTTCAGCAAAAATTAAGTTATTAAGATCTACAATATCAAACTTGGCTTTCTTCTGAATCGCCCAAGCCATACATTGCAGAGCTTTCTTTTGAAACTAAGCTTTCTTTTGAAACTGAGCTTTCTTTTGAAACTCATCATAGCCTGTTACAAGGCAAACCAAACAAATATCATATATGATCAGTCCCTCAATTCTAGAAAAAACATGAGCACCTGTCTAATACACAACCTTTAGTTCAATTAGTTAACACAGAAGAGAATCTAATAAACTAATCAGTCATGGATTTCATCAAGCTAACATCTAATTGTGCAACAAAGAATGTCGGGAAGGGAAACGAGTAAGAAACAGAACACGATTCGTTGGAAATTAGAACTTACACAAGTAAAACTAAAGGGTACCATTTCGAAAAAGCTTGTGCCCAACATGTTTTTCCTTCCTTTTCTGCCCATTAAAGGAAAGGCAACAATGGTTCCTGGAAAAGTGACCAAACCATGGGAAAGAAATAGGCAATGAATCCAAATTCATGAATACTTAATAGGAATAGAAGGTGAGAAGTATGGTTATCAACAACACAACTTGCCTCTATCATGCGATACAACAGTTAATACAAACACGGAGAGAATAATATTAAATATTGCTTAAGTATTAATCCAGGCAAGCTCATACAACCTCATAGTTTTCATTCCCATAGCTATGTAGAAGGGAACAAAGCACCTGCACAGTCTTCCTAAGCAAGTCAGAAGTCCCCTCTACCGCAGGGCTTCATTTCATAAAAGGCAAACATGGGAAATTTATTTTCTTTTCTTCTTTTCCTAAAAACTGATTCGCAACATTGCTTTGTTGGTATTTTACATAAAGCGTGAGCATCTAGATGTATAATTCACACATCAAAGCAAGCGAAACTGGATGATAATAAAAACTTACCATCAATACCAAACAGTGATTTAGCTAGCTGAGAAGTCATGGTTGCACTAGCATTTGGAAAATCTGAACTCCAACTTCCATCACTGGTTCTCCAAGATAGAACATTAGAGATGATGTATTCAGTGTGCTTTGAGTTTGTATAAACATTGTCCTTTGTTGCCCTATGGATTCGACATTCACATCATTAACAATCAGCTTCTTGTTTAGCTTCACTTGCAATTTAGCACAAAGAGCATGTCACAATCAGACCCTTGATCGGAAATGGCTCATAAGTCATAACCCAATAGCTCAAATCATTAAAAAAGAATCCAACACCAGTGCACCTTCAAGTTCAATGCTTAAAACAGGCACAACACCAAAGTTATACTCCTTCCGGCATGGATCAAAGTTTCAAATTAAATTTAGTAAAATATCACAATCAAATAAAGAGGAAACAGTCCCAAACCCCCCCAGCCCCCAAACATTTAATATGGATTTCAGAACCCCTGTTACCGACCATTTACAACATTTAACAACACTCATGATTTATTTATCGAACAAAATAATGGGAAAACTTAGTGTGCCAACCCTTTTCCACTACAAAAATTGAGTAAAAAATAATAGTAAATAACATGATCATAAACTAGACTATTACGACATTCTAGGACTAAAGTTCTGCATGAAAGGATAAGGATGTGTATTCGTTTAGATCATTGTAGTTAGTGGATAAGGTTATACCATTCCGATGCACTTTTGTGGTTGGCAGTTGCAAGCAAGGGACTAGTGGTTGCTGCTGTTCTTCTTCTCTGCACATCTTGAAAGAAACAGAGAGGCAGAGAAAGGGTAGAAATTAACTAGTTAATTCATATTGTGATACAATACAACAAATCCTGATAAGATCCTGTGCAAGTAGAAACCAGCTCATATATAGAGGGCAATTTCCTAACTTAAATAAGATAAGATCAAAAGCAATAAACATTAGGTAAATTAAGGAGCTACTTCTCCCACTTAAACTTGAAGGCTTTGAAATACCAACTAGAATCTAAGTGGAGAAAAACTTACACAGAACCGAAGTCACATACAAAAGACAGTGAAAATAAACAACAATTGAACTCTAATGAGATTATAATCATTGTTATTATGCTTCTTGAAGTTCAATTCACTACAAAATTGCCAACCTATGTTAATCCGCCTGGACTTTCAACAACTTCATTAAGTTAAACTGATTGAATCGAATCAATAATTAGAGTACAAGGAGATAGATTCTGTAATTTCCCCACTGCATCCTGGAAAAAGCCAAAGGAGGTACTTTGAAATCATACAATCAAAAGAACAGGAAAACAAAAGAAATAAGGGCAAAGCTATCGTTCTCTAAAGCAAGTTTGAGAATGCCTACCTAAGTTTCAGTTCTTGAGTACTCTGCTCCAATTCCCATAAGATCAACTCTATTTCCAATGTATTTAGCACTTGACAACTAAGAAAAGAATAAAAGCCTCAATAAAATTGATCTTAAGGACTTCAGATTTTGGTTAATAGCAAGCTCACAACTTCAAAGATGATAATAATTCTAACAAAAAGAATAAAAGTCTCAATTGTTACCTTTATGTTGTCATGCAACTCAATTATGCATCAAGATTTATAGATGGCACCTGCAAAAGTACATTAAGAATATCAATACATTGACACTATTATGCCCATCTGAAGTAGGATTTTGGAAACTTCACGGATCGAAATTGCTTCAGCACCAGAATACTGAAAATAGAAACACTCAAACTTCACGGATCGAGAGCCTTTATTCTTACTTTGGCATTCGATATTAACCTAGTTGATTCATATACACCAACATGGATAGAATCGAGATGTCTCACTGGGAGACATAGCATGCAATGGTTGTAACTTGACGACTTGCATGAGGAAAAAACTACTACACCTGCATAAAACTTGCAATTCAGTCTCCCTTTGTAAGAAATGCTTGCCCATGACCGCCACCCACTCTGCCCACCCCGAATCCAAATCAACCCTCGCGTGGTGTCGGCAACCGCATCTTCTGCCGCTCACTTGAGAAGCAAGCCTTGCACGAAGAGAATTACCGGATTCTAGTATAGCTGAGGCGAACCGTGTCACCACAACCTCTGCATGCGTATGATTTCAGCTGCAATCTCTGCCAGAAGCCCAACTACAAAGGATGGCTCTAGCGATGTCACTTATGGGAGTTCGAAACACACATCGCGTGCACGATATCGCACAAGAAATAAGAGTCGGCTACCTTGAAGGAAAATCTGGTGAGCCAGATCTTTGAATTGTTCGCAGAGTGGTCACACGATTATACCGTTGCTCCTGCAGAGACTAGGGATTCCCACCGGCGCTGATGGAAAATCAACGGAGAAGACAACCCCCGGCGATGATAATCAGTAGATCATAAGGAGATGGTGTCGTCGCGGACAGAGAATTCAATTTCGATGCTGGTGGATTTCACCATGCTGGCGGAGCAATCGACAATTTGAATCTAGGGTTGGGGATTTAATTCGGAGAGAACAGAGTAGAGAATGAGACAAATAGCCTTTCGGGAATTTGTTGGATTTTTATATTTGTTTTATTCAGCGATTTTTGAACCGCTGGATTGGGCTGCTGCTATATGTAAATCCGCATAATTGACCGGAATATGAGATATGATACTACATTCTAGTCTCTGAGATAAAGGTTATTGAGTTTCCTTTTTGCTTGCTGGCTTTAATCTACCTAGTGGTTTTATTGAGGTTGAAGAAAGGTAAGGGCCAGTAGAGTATACATAACATATATTCCTATGATACCGCAGTGAAATTGTGCCTAACGAATATCCTTAGCAAAGTAAAGCTCTATATAATGAATTAGCAAGAATTTGGAGTATAATACCGTATCATGATGTTAATGATGTTAAATGCCTGAACTCTACATTCTAATTCTTGAAACTCTAAATATTTAACCCTATGTTGCATTTTTCTTAATGAATCAGAATTGGGAGTAACTCTACATCCATATCGTTATCTTAGTATGTTTGGAACAGATCGACGAATCAGAATTGTCGAACATTTTTCTTAATGAATTTGATGTCAGAATTTAGGGTTTAGAGAATTAGGATATAGAGTTTCCTCACTTGAGTTTCAGGTATATTATCAAACTCAGGAATTTGAGGCGATTAATTGACTTCATCTTGGCTGGAGAATAGCCCAAGTTCGCCTCAGGTCGAATCCGTGATCCGTAACATCCATATTCCAACCAAAATGGTCATTCGAAAAAATCGCCCAAAATCGGTGATGGTACCCCTTTGGAATCTGCCAAAAATGGATCGGGAATAAATATATCCCAAATAGGTGTTTAATTGACTTAATCGTCGCCCGTCGGTGGGGGTTAGGCTAACGCCGAATACTTGATCCGTAACCTTCAAAATCCAAGGGAAAATTACGAAAATGCCTTGGAAATGTTTTTGCTCAAATCGGCCATTAATTGACTGCATCATTGCTGGAGAATAGTTCCAATACGCCTCACGCCGAATCCGTGATAGCCTTCAAAATCCTAGGGAAATGGTATTTTGAAAAAAGCGCACGAAAAATTACGAAAATGCCCCCAGAAAAAATTTGGCCCAAATCAGCGATTAATTGGCTTCATCATTTCTGGAGGATAGTCTTAGTTCGCCTCAGGGCCGAAATCGGTGATGGTACTTCTTTGTAATCAGCCAAAATGGACCCGGAACAAATACGCCCAGATCAGTGCTAAATAGACTTAAGCATCGGTGGAGGATAGCCTCACGCTGAATCCTTGATTCGTAGCCTTAAAAATCCAAGGAAAATGGTATTTTGAAAAAACCGTACGAAAAATTATGAAAAATGCCCCAGTAATTTTTTTTATGAGGGTGATTGATATTAAAGAAAAACCAAAAACAGTCCCACATACACCAGACTTCCAACGAAGAAAGGAACAACCCAGAAAACAGGGAGAAAGCAAAACAACAGAGGACCTCGTCACGAGAAGTGTCCTCGACCAAAACCAATGAAAGGAAGAAAGAAAAAGAAAAGGAAAGGAACAAACAGGAAGCTAAGCCCACCCGAAGGCCCCTGCAACCCCAAAAGAAGTCCCCCAACACAAAGAACGAAATCGAACAGAGGCAAACAGACCCCCAACAACTCAGCAAAAGAAGCAAACAGTCGCTGCTCATCCCGTAGCCAGCTCTACCTTCGCCGAACCACTCCTACCCCAAGGACCGCGTCCAGGGCCAACAACGCTACATCTGATCAGAAAGTTGCCACCATAGCCAGCCAAAACATTGGTCTCTGCAAATCTTCTTATGCGCAGCCAGCCACTCGACCGAAGTTTTGAGTGCCTTGATGAACACAACTCTCGCACTGCTACTGATGTTTTTAAAAGTGCGGTTCTTCTGTTCTAACCAAACCTGCCAACAGATCGCATGAAGTGCACAAAACCCGATCCAATCACCAGTGTTGTCCGGGCACTCACAACTCCAGCTACGAATGCCCCCGAATTCCCCCCCCCCCAAATCATCAATTAATTGACTTCATCGTCGCTGGAGAATAACAACAGTTCGCCTCAGGCTGAATCCGTGTTTTGTAGCATCCAAAAACCAACCAAAATGGTCATTCCAAAAAATCGCCCGAAATCAGTGATAGTACCCCCTTTGGAATCTGCCAAAAATGGACACGGAAAAAATATGTCCAAATCGGTGCTTAATAGACTTAATCGTCGGTGGAGGATAGCCTCACGCCAAATCCTTGATACGTAGCCTTCAAAATCCAAAGAAAATTACCTTACGAAAAAGCACACAAAAAATTATGAAAATGCCCCTGGAAAAAATTTAGCCCAAATCGGTGATAGATTGACTTCATGGTCGTTGGAGAATAGCTCCAGTTCGCCTCTGGCCGAATCCGTGTTCCGTAGCCTCCAAAATCTAACCAAAATGGCCATTCCAAAAAACCTCCTGAAATCGATGATGGTACCCCTTTGGAATCTGCCAAAAATGGACCTGGAACAAATATGCCCAAATCGGTGCTTAATAGACTTAATCGTCGGTGGAGGATTGCCTCACGCCGAATCCTTGATACGTAGCCTACAATATCCAAGAAAAATGGTCTTTCGATAAAAGCGCACGAAAAATTACGAAATGACACCGGAATTTTTTTTGCCCCAAATCGGCAATTAATTAACTTCATCATCGCTAGAGAATAGCCCTAGTTCGCCTCAGGCCGAATTTTTTTTTTTTGTAGCCATCAAAATCAAACCAAAATGGTCTTTCCAAAAAATCGCCCAAAATCATGGATTCCCCTTTGGAATCTGGCAAAAATGGACACGGAACAAATATGCCCAAATAGCTTCTTAATAGACTTAATCGTCGATGGAGGATTGTCTCACGCCGAATCCTAGATACGTTGCCTTCAAAATCCAAGAAAAATGGCATTTCAAAAAAAGTGCATGAAAAAATACGAAAATGCCCCCGAAAAAAATTTCACCCCAAATCGGCAATTAATTGACTTCATCGTCGCAGGAGAATAGCCCCAGTTCGCCTCATGCCGAATTTGTGTTCCGTAGCCGACAAAATCCAACCAAAATGGCCATTCCAAAAATCGTCCGAAATCGGTGATGCCCTTTGGAATCTATCAAAAATGGACACGGAACAAATATGCCCAAATCGGTGCCCAATAGACTTAATTGTCGGTGGAGGATAGCCTCACAACAAAATCATTGATACATAGCCTTCAAAATCCAAGTAAAATGGCATTGAGAAAAAAGCACACGAAAGTTTACGAAAATGCCCCCGGAAAAGTTTTTGCCAAAATAGGTGATTAATTGACTTCATCATCGCTGGAGAATAGCCTCATTTCGCCTCAGGCCGAATCAGTGATTCGTAGCCTCCAAAATCCAACCAAAATGGCCATTCCAAAAAATCGCCGAAATAGGTGATGGTACCCCTTTGGAATCTGTCAAAAATGGACCCGGAACAAATACACCTAAATCGGTGATTAATAGACTTAATCGTCAGTGGACGATAGCCTCACGCCGAATCCTTGATCCGTAGCCTTCAAAAGGAAAATGGCCTCTCGAAAAAAGCGTACGAAAAATTATGAAAATGCCCACAGAAAAAATGTCGTCCAAATCGATGATTAATTGACATCATCATCGTTGTAGAATAGACCCAGTTCGCCTCAGGCAGAATCCGTGATCCGTAGCCTCCAAAATTCAACCAAAATGGTCATACCAATAAATCTCCCGAAATCGGTGATGGTACCGATTTGGAATCTGCCAAAAAATGGACCCGGAACAAATACGCCCAAATCAGTGCTTAATAGACTTAATCGTCAGTGGAGGATAGCCTCACTTCGAACCCTTGATCGGTAGCCTTCAAAATCCAAGAAAATGGCCATTCGAAAAAAGAGCACGAAAATTCCCCTGGAAAAAATTTCGCCCAAATCAGCGATTAATTGACTTCATCTTCGCTGGAGCATAGCCCCGGTTTGCCTCAGGTCGAATCTGTGTTCCGTAGCTCCAAAATCCAACCAAAATGGCCATTATAAAAAATGAACTCGGAACAAATACGCCCAAATCGGTGCTTAATAGACTTAATCGTCGGTGGATAATAGCCTCACGCCGAATTCTTGATTTGTAGCCTTCAAAATCCAAGGAAAATGGCCTTTCGAAAAAAGCACACGAAAATTACGAAAATGCACCCAGAAAAATATTCGCCCAAATGGGGGATTAATTGACTTCATCATCGCTGGAGAATAGTCCCAATTCGCCTTAGGCCGAATCAGTGATCTGTAGCCTCCAAAATCCAACCAAAATGGTCATTCCAAAAAATCACCAAAATGGTCATTCCAAAAAATCACCAAAATAGGTGGTGGTACCCCTTTGAAATCTGCCAAAAATGGATCCAGAAAAAATACGCCCAAATCGGTGCTTAATAGACTTTATCGTCGGTGTAGGATAGCCTCACAACGAATCATTGATCCGTAGCCTTCAAAAGGAAAATGGATTTTCGAAAAAAACGCACTAAAAATTACAAAAATGTCCCCGGAAAAATGTCGTCCAAATCGACCATTAATTGACTTCACCCTCGCTGGAGAATAGCACTGGTTCGCCTCAGGCTGAATCCGTGATCCGTAGCCTCCAAAATCCGACCAAAATGGCAATTCCACAAAATCGCCCGAAATCGGTGATGGTACCCATTTGGAATCTGCCAAAATGGACCCGGAACAAATACGCCAAAATCGTTGCTTAATAGACTTAATCTTCGGTGGAGGATAGTCTCACGCCGAATCCTTAATCCATAGCCTTCAAAAATTCAAGGAAAAGGAGAATCATAACATATGGGTGTTTGATGGAGAAACCAAGAGGGGTGAATCTATGTCATCAACATCTTCGAAATAACGAGATCTGCAAAGTGAAGTATGGAGGTAGACGTAGGCAAAGATGAGGAGAAGACAAGTTGTACGTTTCACCGATCCAACCTCTATTTACTACTTAGGATGAACCATCTGTTGGGTCAAAAAGTTTAACCTAGCAAGTCTAATACCT